GGTTCTGAGCTCTTGGATTTTTGTCCCTGTTGGGTTTTTGTCCCTGGTTTGTCATTGGTTCTGAGCTCTTGGATTTTTGTCCCTGTTGGGTTTTTCTCCCGATTGGCTTTTTGTCCCTACGGGCATGTCTGTGGTTCTGAGCTCCTGCATTTTTGTCCCTGTTGGGTTTTTGTCCCTACTGGGTTTTTGTCCCCGTTGGATTTCTGTCCCTGGTTTGTCAGTGGTTCTGAGCCATTGGATGTGTCTCTGCTGGGTTTTTGTCCCTGTTGGTTTTTTTGTCCTTGTTGGGTTTATCAGTGGTTCTGGGCTGTTGGGTTTCTGTCCCTGTTGGGTTTTCATCCCTATGGGTTTGTCAGTGGTTCTGGACCACTGGATGTGTCTCTGTTGGTTTTTGTCCCGGTGGGTTTGTCAGTGGTTCTGGACTGTTGGGTTTTTGTCCCTGTTGAGATTTTGTCCCTGTGGGTTTTTGTCCCTGTTGGGTGTGTCCCTGTGGGTTTTTCTCTGTTGGGTTTTTGTCCCTGTGGGTTTATCAGTGGTTCTGGATTGTTGGGTTTTTGTCCCTATTGGGTTTTTGTCCCTGTGGGTTTGTCCCTATTGGGTTTTTGTCCCTATTGGGTTTGTCCCTATTGGGTTTTTGTCCCTGTTGGGTGTTTCCCTGTGGGTTTGTCCCCAGTTCTGATCCATCCCCTCCTATGGAATTCCCCGCAGGCGTCGCAGCTCCTGCGCAGGCTCTGCATGCAGAACATGGTCTGGACCTACTGCAAGAGGATCAGCCCCGAGTGGAAGCAGCAGGTACGGGGCACCTCTGCAGGGTTTCCCTGCCATTCCCAAGAGCAGGAAATGCAGGAGAGGAGCAGCTGGAGGAGAGGGACAATGCCCTGCACCGGGACTCTGCAGGGCTGTGAATTGCTGCATTCTGGGCTGCCACAGGAACAGCATCGTTGATTTGGGTTTAGGTTCCAGACAAAACACTGACAGACTGGAATGTGCATTAGAGACCCCATTCTATACATATTAGAATAGGTGCTATTTAAACAGGCTGTGGAGCCAAGCCCCCACATAATTTCTCTATTGAAAGGCCCCGTTATTCTGCCCATGAAAGCTAAAAATATCAGAGGCTGCATTATTCTGCCTGTACCATGTAAAGTAGAGGGTAAGAATCCCACAGACACAAACCCAGTCATTTTCCAAACAGAGGAGTTACAGCAACAGTTTCAGCTGCTCTACTGCAGCTAAAAAGAATAAAAATGACACTGAGATTTGATTCATCTCATGGAAAGGTAGGGGGAGGGAATTTTTGTATTTGAAAATTTAAAAAGGGGCAGTAAAGAGACGTAATAGGAAATGTTGGTTGGTTTTTCATTGCACAATCTCTCACCTTCTGCAGTGCACCAACACCTGGAATGAAAGGCTGGGGCTGAGCCTGTGATTAAGGCCATGGGATTAACTCAGCTCAGCAGCTGCTTTCCCCCAGCAAACCAAACTCACTGATAATGAGCCTCTTATCCCCATTTTTACCTGCCAATCATCTCAGGTGCCTTGTCCTGTAGCCCCAAATAAAGCAGTGGCATTTCCCATTTTCCCATTCCCTGTTTTGTTCTTGGAGCAAAGGATCCCAGAGCTCAGTCACTGACAGTGTCTGGAACTCTGCCACCTCAGGGGGACTTGGAGGTTTAGGGTGACTCCTCATCCAAACAGGATCTCCCAAGGCCTTAGGGAATTGTGCTGTTTGCCAGGATAAGGTGAGGAATGGTGAACTCAGAGAAGGTGTCACACAGCACTGATGACTTTCTGTTAGTGCTTCAATTAATTACCCTGACAAAATAAATCTGAAACATGAAAAAGGCCCTAAGGGGTATAGGATGGACCCAAGTTCAGCTTAAGGGGGAAGAGTTCAAAAGAAACTGGAGTGGGAGAATTCTGAGGCTTTAAACGTGGACATTCTGAAAATACAGACAGCAGGTGCCATGTCCGAATAAATTCAAAAAGGAAATATAATCTCTCAACAAACTTATGGAAGAGAAAGGAGAAAGGTTTTCTGCCTTTTTTGCTGTTTAAAACGTAAGGGATATATGGAATATTTAGTGTGATTTTGTGACTGGCATGATTCAGGTCAGAACTAAATGATGACTGCTAACAAAACCACAAAGAGAACATCTCCTTTAACACAAACGTATCTTTTTAATGAGAAATTTTGTACTAAACAAGAATGCTTCTTTTGTCCTTGCAGTTGGAACAAAAAGTAATTGCCAGTGAGATCTTCAAGGGTAAAAAAGACAATTATCCTCAGAGTGTTCCCAGGCTCTTCATCAACACTCGATTGGGTGAGTGGGGGTTGCCAAGTTTAACAAGAGGAAGGGAGGGGGATTAATCTTCTTTTTGCTTGCTGAAAATCTCTCTCTAACCCCCCACCTCTTTGGTTTTAATACAGGTAGAGAAGAAATAAATACTAAAGTCCTCCAGGCGTTAGAGAATGAAGCACTCAAGGTGAGAGAGATGTCCCAATATTTTTGCCAAGCTCCCAGGGTTACTCAGCAGAGGGGCAGATTAGATTTCTGAAAAAAGCACAAGAAGAATTTTACATTGTATTGAGTTTGTAATACTTTAGAGGACAGTGTGGGAAGAGCTGATGGATTGGAAAGAGGAGATTTGGGCAGTTTAATGATGTCAGTTAAGAATTGAATGGGTTTCTGCTGCAGAAGAAAGGGGAACCTCCAGAGTGACACCAAACCTGGGTTTGGTGAGCCCCAGGCAGTGAGTGCAGCCACCACAGCGTGCCCAGAGCTGCTCTGGGTCAGTGAGGGAGCTCTGGCACAGAGAATTCCCTGCATTCCCAGTTTGCCAAGCCCTGGGCAGTGCCCCAGGTGGGACTGGCCCTGCTCACTCGTGTTTCAGTACGCAGTGCCCGTGGTCAAGTACGACAGGAAGGGCTACAAGGCGAGGGCGCGGCAGCTGCTGCTCACCCAGAGCTCGGCCATCGTGGTGGAGGAGTCCAAGATCAAACAGCGCATCGACTACTCCAACCTGACAGGTGGGAACGGCTCAGGGATGGGCTGGGCACTGCCCAGGCTACCCTTGGCTACCCTTTAAATGTCCCACCACACCCTCCCATTTATCTTTGTTCTGGGCAAGGACAGAAAGCTGCTTCTGGCAAGCACTTTAATATCCTGTAATTGAGTTTTTCTAATATTAAGCTCCATAAAATGCCACCAAAAAGATTCAGTTAATCTCTCTCGACCCTCCCCTCAGTGATTTCCCAATTGCAGGGCCCTACCCCGGGGGAGTTACACCATTCCTGCCCAGCAGCTGCCTGGGGCACTGCTGCAGCTTTTGGCCCTGGAATATCCCACAGGGAGCAGATTCTTTGGAAGGGGGAATGTGGCCAGAGAGGGAAAACGGCGGAGCTGCTGCAGTGTGCAGAGTGTGGCCTCAGTCCCCTTGCAGCTGTGCTGTGTGGGAACAGTTGCTGCATTCCTGGCAGAGCTGCGCAGCACTCCCAAGGTCCTGGCAGCGCTGGTGACGCTCCCATCTTTCCCCCAGGCATCTCCGTCAGCAGCCTGAGCGACAACTTGTTTGTGCTGCATGTGCACTGCGTGGACAACAAACAGAAGGTACCGGGGCTCATCCCTCCCTCCTCCAGCCCCCTCTGAGAAAGGGTGAAAGGCACAGGGAGCACACGAGATGACAGGGATGGGACTTTGTGCACTGCTCTTTCCCTGTGCTCTCACAGCCGCGTTCAGCAGTGCTTGTTCACCCCCTCTGGTGCCGTCCCTGTCCCTTACAGCAGGGCAGTTTTGGTGCACTGCCCCTAAAGCCCTGACCCTAAAGCTTGGACTCTCCTCCCAGGGAGATGTCGTCCTGCAGAGTGACCAYGTGATCGAGACACTGACAAAAGCAGCCATTCTGGCCAACAAAATCAACAACATCAACATCAACCAGGGCAGGTGAGTAACAGGGCCCTGCCTTGGCTTCATCAGCATTAAAGGGAAATATTCCTGTACCTCACCCAATCCACCTCCAGAGCAGATCCACTGCAGTGAGCATGGAGCCAAAGCTCTGTGTAAAACCGAGCTCCTGAGAGCCCCCCACACTTACCAGAGCTGTTCTCACCTTTTGCTCTTCACAGCATAAAATTCACAGTGGGACAAGGCAAAGAAGGGATCATCGACTTCATCTCGGGGTCAGAACTGCTCATAGCCAAAGCCAAGAACGGGCATCTAACAGTGGTGAGTGTGGGCTGAGGATCACTTACCCTGGATCCAAACCAGGATTCTGCCACGGACACATGGGACACGTGCCATGGGATGTTCCTGCCAATGGCAGTGCCCTGCTATCCCAGCCTTTCCCCCAGTTGGAACTGGGCATGGAGCTTTTGGCCAAGCTCACTCAGGTTCAGCAAGGGACTGGCCCAGCACTTACTCTTTATTTCTTCCCAATATTCATTTACTCCACAGCGACACAAATTTGAAATACTTTGGAGCTTGTTTGTTGTGATGTGGCAGTCAGATCACCCCCACTGMTGATTTATGCACTGTCAGATTCCASGTTATTAAAAAATAAATCCAGAACAGATTGAGACTGTGCTGACTCCCCTTTCAGCAGCGCTAAGAGCTCCCAGGCTTCAAAATGGTCAGAAATGAAACTTTTGCAGCATTTGGAACACATTTCAAACCTGTCCTTCTCCTGCAGGTTGCTCCTCGGTTGAATTCCCGATGATGAAAAGCATCCCTGCTCCAGGACCTGTCCCTCCACAGAATTGGCTGAACATTGTTCCCAGCAAACCAAC